GAGGTTCTCTTGTTGCTGGTTCTGTTCTGATGATGACCCCATCTGGAAAAAACAAACAGCTACTTTGAGTCTATACGCATTAGCCTAAAACGCATATATATAAGCAAAACAAATAATTCAAATAAATACAACCACCAATGACCAAAACAAAAGACAGCAGACAAGTGAAAGAGTATTATACGTCTTCTTAAGTGTATATATATCATATCAGGAACTCGGTTTTACTACAATAAGAATGTTCAGAGTAAGTTCAACTAGTTCAAAGACACCAACTAGTTCAAAAAATTCAAATAGAGAGTTACAAAAACAAAGCTCTATTGAAACAAAGCTACATGCTGCAACATCTTAGACTCTTAGCAATACAGAGGCTCCATCAAATTCACTTCGAATCAAACTCAGATCCGAAACAAATAAAATCATAAACAAAAACTCAAACAAAGAAGAACCACACAAAATTCGAAACAAACATCTTAAATCTAACTGTTTATATCAACAAAATTGGACAATAAAACCCACGAATGTGCATACGATCGATTTCCTGAAGATTCAGACGGAGGAGACGGAGGAGAAGATGAAGAATCGAGCGTGATTTCTTCCATCTTGAATTCTGGGTTTATATAGATATAGTTTTCGTTTCGAAATTTAGCGTCAAATGTAGGTCGACGCTAATATAACGTCGATTTAGCGTCATTTTTGCATCGCCATTGAATTTCGACGCTAAATCGTCAGTAAATAGGGACGAAATGATTCGACGCTAAATTGACGCTATTTACCATCGACTTAGCGTCGAATTTGAGTCAGGACAGGCTTTTCGACGCTAAATCGACGCTAAAATTGTATCAAAATAGCGTCGAACGTATAGCGTCGAATATAGTGTCGAATATTGCGTCGAACTTGGTAGGTAGGTGACACAATTTTAATGGGTTCACCTACTTATTTAGCGCATTTATAAACGACGCAAAAACGACGCTTATTCGAAGCAAAATCGACGCAAATGTTTTTGATGCTAATCCAATTCAAATATTCGATGCAAAATCGCTGCTAATAGCTTCTATATATACTCAACTATCAGAGATCAAGAAATCAGGAAAAAAAAATAATAAAAAAATGAGCGATATATTCGAACTAAGAAGCAGGATGTATCGACGTAGAGATGAAAGTGGAGGTCTTTCACAAGAGTTCCTCAGCGAGCTTGAAATTTTCATGGCTCAAGCGAGTAGTATACCTACAATTCAACGGACTGGAGT